AGAAACTTAGAGAAGGGTTAATAGGTAAGAAGCAGGTTATAGAATACTAGTCAAGTGATTCTATGAGAAATACTGGACAGTGTGAAATAATGTATTGTAAGAAGGGATATAAAACTGAATGGTATTTTCGTTAATCAAGTTAGAGAAAAGAGTCAGTGAACAATTTGGGAATGGATGAGAAAATGAGTTTAGTAGTATAATGAAAAATTTAAGATACAAACAGAATATAATATGAAAATGTTGAAAATAGTTAAATAAATTTAAATGGGACTGCAGAGAAAAATCTGAGATGAATGAAGATATTCAGAAGCAATCCATATACACTTGAAGATCAAAATAAGGAAATGGAGTAGGAAGAGGGGCCATAGAACAGAAGCTAAAAGGCCCTTGTTGGAATATGACAGACATAGATCTGCTTTTTCGAAACTCAGACCTTAAGCAAATTATTTAAGTTCTCTGATCATGTTCCCTCATCTGGAAATGGAGAAAAGGCCTAAATCATCATAAGGTTGTTACATTCTCCAAATTCCCTAGCTTCCACCAAGTGAATCACTATTATTTTATTATTATAAAGTTAAGGAAGCATATGCACATGAAATTCCTAAAGAACTGAGAACTAAATTCTAAGAAAAAGTGGCATTAAAGGAATTGATTTTAAAAAATATATCCAGATATATAAGAAGCGACAACTTAAAGACAGGAAATTTGAATTTCCTAATACCCAAAGGAGAAAAGACTTCAAAGAAAGGTGAAAACAACCAAGGCTATTTGATAAATACTTGCAAATTTATCAGTGACAATAGCACCCTCAATGTAAAGTCAAAACCCTAAACTACACTGAAGAAGAGATAAAGTGGAAGAACAGCCTGTTTTATTAAGAATCTAGTAGTGAAGAAAAAGATTTGGGAAGGTAACTCATTTGCACAGATTTTTCAAGTTAAAAATGAAAATTTCATCAATTTTACATTTGCTCATTTTCTGCAATTCTGCAATGACCTGAGAATTGTTTGTCTGTATTCCCCTTGGGTTTGAACTTTTATATTCTATCCATTTCTATTGAAATGTGTGCATATTATAACACTTTAATAGTTATACATGATTTCATAAACTAATCCAAATCACTTTAATACAAGGAGAGTATATAATAAGGGGGCTTACATACGTGGGATAAAAACTCAGTAAAACAGCAACAGCTCAAGGTGTAAAACAAGAATGTGTGGATAGTGATGTGTCAAAGAAGCAAGAGGAGCTGGGACCCAGGGCAGACCCTTACGTGGGAGGAGAGATGCCTCATCAACTGAGAGAATATGGGAGGAAGTCGAAAAGGATTTGAATTTCAAAGAGTTCATAAGATTAGGAGTGAAGAAAATAAATTGAGGTAATTTCCTCCCCGTGATCTCTGATCAATAAATTAGGAGCAGGGGTGAATACTGATTTTGTGGAGTATGATGTTTAAAAATTTTAGGCCCTTTGTAAGAAAAAAAGATATATAAAAATATATACAAAATCAGGTTTATATAAATTATATATATAAAATAAGAAATCATATAGACAGCCAATTTAAGAAAGTTCACAGAAACTACATTATAAGATCTATAATAGTAACACAATTTTCTTAATTAACTGCCTGATATACCTTAAAAAAATTAAATTTGAATTTTACTATGACAAAAATATTGAGTACATTTTTTTTATGAAAAGTTGAGGCCAAATTGTAGAGTTCTATCTTAAATTACCTTAAACGTTCCTGCTTCTTAAATGGTTGAGTTTTAAATGAAAGAGAAAGGTGTAATTTGGAAAAGACTTGCTGGTGGAGTGTTACTAAGAGAGAATTTAAGGACTTCATTACTTTAGTGACCCAAGATTGGAAACTTACTTTTTTCCTGGTAACTGTAGAATCTCTAGAAGAATAACTGGATAATTTGTTTGTGTGCTTGTGCTCATGCACACAACTTGACAATTAAGATTTTTAATTAGTAGAATGTTAAGGGTATTTTGGATGCAATAATGATTTATGTGTATACCACAATCAATTCATTTTTTTCATTAATTCTGTTAGCAACGTCATAATTTTCCAGTAAACTTTATACTGAATAATATGTCAGGATACATTTCTGTTGTTTATATAAGAGTAAATCTAATTAATACTATATTTAACTTTATAACTGATCAGAGATATGCAAATAAAAATGATATGCTTTAATTTGTCACATTGTACAAAATTAGAAAGTGTTAAAGATATCCAATTTAAAGGAGACTGTGAAAAAGAAGCATTATACACTGCTGCTGGGATTATAATTTAGGACACACTTTATGTATAGTAGTTTGGCAGAATGTTACACAATTATAATTGAAAATATTATCAACCAAGCAATTCTACTTATGTTAACTCATTCAACAAAAATATTTAAATAGGCTTTTAAAAAACATACCTAAATTATAGATGTTAACTTAACATTGTTGGTAGTAAAAGTACAGAAATTCTAAATGTTTGTCAATAATGCATTACCTAACAAAGCTATGCAATATTGTTCAGCTCTTAAAAATAATGAAACTGATCAATATGCTCTGAACTCATAATTATTCATATGCTTTTGAATATAGTAAAAGTACTACTGTTAAAAATTTATCTATACAACATATACATGTGTCTTTTTTTTTGAAAAATTTCATTTATTTATTTTTAGAGAGAGGGGAAGGGAGGGAAGAAAATAAGGAGAGAAACATCAATGTGTGGTTGTCTTTCACATGTCCTTACTGGGGACCTGGCCCACAACCCAGGCGTGTGCCCTGGCTGGGAATCAAACCCATGACCTTTTGGTTCACAAGCCAGCACTCAATCCACTGAGCCATACCAACTGGGACATGTGTCTTTTTTATATATGCACATTTTATATATGAATACACTATATGTGAATACATCACATACATACATTACATTTTATGTTTATAGAGAAATTTCTGATAGTATACATACAATTTGTAGTGGTAATTTCTGAGGACTGGTGGAGCCTCTAATTTACTTTCTAAGTAATATACATTGCATTCAGTATGGATTTTTGCACAAATAATACTTTTATTTATTCAATATATTAAAATAAAGTAGAAGATGATATGATACTTAAAATTAAAAGAGTGAAAGAAATGTAGTATATATTACAATAAGGAAAATGAGAAAACAAGGCTAAAATTAATGTTGTTGCAGTATATTTACACAGAGCTAAAAAGTGGTCATGTTATTAGTAATTATTAATTAACTGCTATAAATAGTACTGATAATAAATATCATTGAGGACATATTATGTGATAATCACATTTTTATATGCTTTATAAGCAATAACTTGTTTAACTTAACAACTAGCCTGTAAGAGCTACTATTTTTCTCTTACAGCAAAGATAAAAAAGGCACAGAGAGGTTAAGTCGTAAGCCTTGTAATTATTAGTCTGTAGGCACAAAATTTAACTATGAAACACAGGACAAGTCCTGGATTGATTTACTCTAGGTGGAGCTACAGAGGTCTTAGAATGGCTAAACTTTTGAATGCAGAATTTCTTTTATTTATTTATTTATTTATTTATTTATTTTCATATACATTTGTCTCTGCCTACCCCCTACCACTTTCCCTTGCCCCCTTCCTCCCTCCCTCCCTTCCTCCCTCCCTCAACTCTTCCCCTTTGGTTTTGTCCATGAGTCCTTGCTATATGTTCCTTGACTTTCCCCTTCCCTTCCTTTTCCCCCGCCCCACCTCCCTCCTTCCCTCTTGTCTCTGTTGGTTTCTTTTCCTTTCATTGTTGCTGGTCTTATTTTCCTTCCATCTTTGTATTGTTGGTTAGGTTCCACTTATAGGTGAATGCAGAATTTCTTGATCCTTCAGTTAAGACTTCTGAGTTTAGAGACTATTAAGAAGAGAAAAAGAGCCATTCTGCCTGAGCTTGTGTATTGATATCAAGACTTTACTTTTGTTTGGCTTTAACTAAACAGAGATTTCCTAGGTGTGGCTCACCTACCAATAATCTGAACATGATCCTTTAGACTCTGGAGCCTGGAGCTTGACAAAGGCATTGTTCTGAACTAAATTCCTCTGGTAAGCCTGCCTTTTACAGGAAGTAGTTTCCACACATCACTGTTCTGCATTGGGAAACTGGCCCTGGACAGCAGCTAGCAGGGAATGAAACAAAGAGTTGAATGTAATTATGGGAATCTGTGCTAATAGTTCTATTTATATTTATTTAATAAGATACACTGATATAAATTTTATTCTGAGCACTTGAAACAGTATAATTTCAATATTCGGTTTCTAGTTTCTTACATAACCTAGGAGACTTATTTTAATCATGCGAACTTTTTTTAAAAAAGAAGCTTGTGTAAGATTATAGAGCTTCTTTCCACTTCTCTGGTCTAATGTTTATTCTCATGTTGAAAGAGAGAAAAGAGGTCAGTGGAAGAAGATGACATTAATTAGTTAAGTAGGTCAAATTAATGACGATTTATTTCAGTGTATTTTTGTTGCCTAAAAAGTATATTATTTCTGTTGAAAAAACAATTTTATTACATTTTACCTATTAACAATGAGATGATACTCATTATATTTTGTAAGCAGTAAGTAAAAAAATCATATTATAATTCTGATTCTCTATTAACTAGCCTTTTCTTGACTGTGTAGATTTATATTCTTATTTAACAAGTAGATTAGTTTTTCAAACAGATGGTTTGGAAGTTTAAGCACCCAGCTAGAATGTCTTTGTACTTGTGTGTGTAATTATTATTATTAGCATTAGTATTAATATTACTTCACAATATTTACAAGGGAGGAAAATTTGCTTGAAACAGGCTATTTTTGAAAAACAGCATCTGCATTGGTTTCTCTTGTGTAGTTGATTCTCTGTGTTCTTTGTATACTGATCTAGCTGCTGCATTCAAATAATATTGTTTTAGATATGTCAGGCTTGTTTAATTAATTAATGGTAATTAATGGTAATAATATTATCCTTAGACTTACCCTGGCATTGGTCCATTTACAGCAAGACTGTAAACCTGACGAGGATTTAGTAGATACTGGAATTTTCTGTAAATTCTAGACAGATAAAAATATGAAAGGAAAACATTTAATGATACAGCAAAGTTTTTTTTTTACAAAATAGCACCCTTAATATTTTATATAAATATAATTGTAATTATATGTACTTGGTCAATTTTGCATTAATGATATTAGAAGTATAAAGGCTTAATAGGAACTAATGGTTCCTTTAAGAAAAGAGTTTTAGTGGTCATTACAAAGGCAATATAGCTTATATATGAGAAATAATGATATTTGCCTTCTAAATATGTATATGTATTTAGAATATTATCCTGCTTTTAATTTAGCTAATTAGATTTCAAATAAATATTTTTGAAAATATCAGTAAACAATTACTTAAATATCTTTTCTGAACAGATCCTTGTGAAATTTATAAAATATTGAACCAACTAATAGAGTTGGAAACTACCCCACATACAAAATCAGGTTATGCCCTTTAACATATGCAAGCAAAGAAAGTGACCCCATCTGTCTAATTATTTCACATAAACAATCATCTTGGTCAGTCAGTCATAAAACTGCTAAACTGTTTCAATAGCACATATTAAATTGTTTACTTGTTTTCTGAAAGAAATCAAGCTTTGCACAACAAATGCAATAGAAATGTTTCAAGGACATATACAGCCCACAGGGCTGGAAGTCTTAGGCAAAATAAAAGTGAAGGAATATGCTTAGTTTTCCTTAACATTATTTTCATATACATGTAAAATACAACTATATACAAGGATGGGCAAAAGAGGGTTTACAGTTGTTCATATGGAGAATACAAAAATTAATAAATAATAATACAAGAATAAACTGTTTAATGTACTCAAAACTGTAAACCTACTTTTGCCAAACCCATGTATTTAACAAACACATTCCTGTAATGTTTACTAATAGAAACACTCTAAATTAACCATGTAATATCTGCTTACATCCACCCCCACTCCCAATTCTACAATAAACTTTACGTTCTAAATCTTGATTAATCAGATTACCTAGTGTATCAAGAAAGATCTTAGAGTCATTCGCCTTTTTCCAAGCACCTGACCCTGATGGTTCAATTAATTAATTTGATTACATGCTATATTGTGTGTACATGCTTTTTATATTAATTTAAAGAAAATCATTTTATGTACAGGAAAAGGGAAAGATAGATATTCAATGAAGGGTACTCTATATGATCAATGTTACTTCGGTTTTAGGGAAATGATTTTTTTTCCTTTGAAATATTTTTTTTTATTTGAGACTCGATTTATACCAAACTCTCAATATCAATTTAAGACTTCCTAATTTTTTCTAAAGAATTTATGTTTTGTGAAGATAACCATAATAACCATAATGTACACAGGCGAAAGACTGTGACTTAAAATGGAGAAAATACTTTTAGCATTATTATTTAATTACTGTTTTGATCTCCGTAGGGCTACCATCTCTTTAATAAAGCACTATAAGTGCCGTTAATTAAGCCACTATTGAAAATAATTTTGATTCTGTTTAGTAGAGTTAAAATACAACTGTATGTTGATAAAAGGGAAAAACTTTTAACCAGAAATAACATCTTGGTGACTGAAAAATAAAGAACATTCTGTATTTCATTGAGATACAGCTGGAAGTTATATAGTAAGAAAGAAATTTCATTCATGGAAACATTTCAGCTACATTATTTGGTAAACCAACAAGGTAATTTCTGGTTTATTATCATGATGTTTGTGTTAGTGCTTTTATTTGCTGATTTTTGGTTGGGATTAGAAAAGACCATTAGAAATTAATAAGACAGGTACAACAACATTCTTGTTTATGACTATCCTCTTTAGAAGGATATACGATTTATTCCCGAATGTGATTTTCAGACTTATATTAAATATTATGATTTAATCATTAACTCCTTCCGGAAATGAAAATTTTATGTTGTTGATGAGAATATTGAGATACCTGACAATGCAGCTCATTATTACACAGATTAAATGTATTGTTTTCTTTGGGAAATATGGCATCACGTTCTAATAATTCTATTCCTCATTACTTGTTAACAATTTACCTGGAGTCACCCTGTAGACCATTTAGAAAACCAATTTTAATTCAACATTATTTATGGAGGATGTTGTATGTAAAGCTCTTTGATAGGGGTTATGGGTAATAGGGTAGAGAGAAATCCGATAACCGATTTATAATAAAAATGTTTATAAAAGCGTGCTGTTATATTAAAATTTCAACTTTAAAAATAAATAGATCAAATCAATATATTACATACACATGCTAGTATTATTTATCTCACATTAAAATTTGTAAAACCATGAGAAATAATGTTTCCAAGTAGTTTTCCACAATTTTAATGAAATTTTTCACTTAGTTGTGACAACAAAATGAATACGACTTGAGAAAACATACCTTTCTCCTTGTTTCCCACCACTTTTGGGGTTTACAAAAACTAAAAGCGGATGGGTACCAGGAACAGGAGTGATCTAGAAGAAAGATGGTTATGTAGACAAATTACTCACATATATGAAAAAGACCCCTTGTAATTTTTACACCATGAAACACCAATTAGCAAATTTAAGAATATGGATCTTTGTTCTTAAATGTGGATAATCTACATACATAGATCTACATGATAAATCAGTTAAACATGAGGAGATGTGTGTGTGTGTGTGCATATATATAAAATACAAGGTCTGTCTGGAAAAAGTCCAATCATTGATAGTATAATGAGAACAGCTTGCATGACATCGATGTAAACTGGCAGCCGAGGAGAGTGGACTGGAATGCACATACATGAACAATGAAGTCTTCACTGTACTAGCCGGTGGGGGTGGTAGATGTCGTTAAGTGAGCATATGCACATTGTGACCATCACATTCAAAATGACTGAGTAGAGCAACAAATCAGCATCAAATATTGCGTTAAGCTTGAACATTCCTCCATTGAAACTATTCAGATGATTCAGAAGGCCACAGCTATGGGCAGCTAGTGATTGGCAGCTTCATCATTGCAATACACTCATTCACACATCACATCTCATGCAGAGTTTTTTGGCAAAACATCAAATCACCCAAGTGACTCAACTCCCTTACACCCCAGATATGGCACCCTGTGACTTCTGGATTTTCCCAAAACTGAAATCACCTTGAAAGGGAAGAGATTTCAGACCACCAATGAGATTCAGTAACACAGAACAGGGCACCTGATGGTGATTAGGAGAAGCGTGTGAGATTCCAAGGTGCCTACTTTGAAGGGGACTGAGGCATCATTGCCTTATGTACAACATTTCTTGTATCTTGTATATTCTTCAATAAATGTCTCTATTTTTCATAGCGCTTGGCTGGATATTTTCTGGACAGACCTCATTTGTTTAAAGGATTTTATTAAGCTGTAACATTTGGTGTTTGTCATGGAAGAAAGCACATAAATATTCTAAGTAGAAAAAAAGTGAAAATGTCTGATTTTTTTCTGATGAAATATATATTGAAAGTTGCTATGAACTGACTTGTATCTCTCCTAACGTATCTTGAAGCCCTAAACCCCATTATGATAGTATTTGGAGGAAGTACTATGGGAGAATAGTAAGGTTAGATGATGTCTTGAAGTTGAAAGCTTCATGATTAAATTAATCCATTTAAAAGAAAAATAAAGATGGATTCTCCCTCACACACACATACATACAAAGATGAGGTCATGTGAGTACTTAGAGAGATGGTTGCCATCTATAACCCAAGTAGACCTCAGAATGTAACCTAACTTGTCAGCACCTTGATCTTGAACTTTCTAGCCTTTAGAACTATGAGAAATAAACGTCTGTTGTTTAAGCCACTCACTCAATGGTATTTTGTTATAGCTGCTCAAGCCGATTACTACAGAAGGGTCTTATAGAAACTCAAAAACAACAAAAAAAAAGATGGGCTCTTTAAAAATGAAGAGTGAGTTTCTAGTCATCTTTCTCAAGACACCAGCATGGAATTTGATATCATGAGGACCAGCATCTATCAAGGACCATGAGCTGCACTTGAAGATGCACAGATGAAGGATGGAAGATATAGTAAAAGTCCTGATTAGAACATGGAGCTGCCTTACTTATTAGCCCCATTCCTGGAGATCCTACTTCGGTACTTCATTTACATGAGAGAAAAAATTATGGTTACCTTGTCTGAACCACTGTTATGGGGTGTTTTTTTTTTTTGTTCCTTCTCTTTTTTGCCTTTTCCCTGTTTAAATCTGCATAAACTAAGTGTAATGGATTTGGAAAAGAAAAAAAAAAACCCAACAAGATCCATAGGGGAAAAGATTTGGATACAGATTTAACCAGGCATAGAAACTTTATCTTTCATCAAACTTGTAAATATTTCCAGTCCGTGAGAGAACAACAGAAACTTGATAGCAACGTCAATGAATATTCTATGTTTCATTTCATCTTATATTGTAATTCCCATTATTTAACATGGGTATCATCATTTTCAGTTGATTCTTCTGTAACTTAATAATCTGAGGTGAGGAAAAATGTAGGTATTATTAGATGTGATATCTCAGTTAGTATACTCACTATACCTGCTTCCAGATCTTGTTTTCCTGAGTTGTCTAAATCAGATAAGAACTAACTTCTAGAATTCAGAATTGAGTTAAGTGAACTAATTTGCGTAGTATTACAGAACATATATACTTAAAGGAATTTAAGTAAATTAAAGAAATATCAACAGTTCTCTTAGTTTCTGAAACTCAGTATATCCTATTTCCATGAATAAAGTTTTATGGAAATAAAAAATCACCTTTTTATCTTACAGTGATTGTTTTTATTTTTGTATTTCAAAACAATTTCAAATATATGGAAAAGTTGCAAACACTGTAGAATTTTTTTCCTGAACAATTTCAGAGTAAGTTGCCAAAATGATAATTCATCACTTGTTTACATTAGGATTGCCAACACACAAGAACATAACTCTTACATAAATATAACACTTCAAAATCAGGGCAATAATATGATTGTAGAGTACTTTCTTTGATTATAATAGCCATTATTGAGAAAATAGTTGAAACTTGAATGAAATCAGGATTAGATAGCACTAATATGTCAAATTTATATTCAAGTTCACTAATCCTGTTTTATAGTACATCATGGTGCCTTGTATTTTGTTTACATAACCCCAAGGCAAGTCTTTGTCCATCACTATTTATCTGTGTTTTATCCTCTTCTACCTCCCCCACCCCCTCTTCCCAGAAATCACCACACTGTTGTTTGTGTCCCTGAGTTTTTCCCTCTTTTCTCTTGTTGCTCATTAACTCTGAAATAAGGTGGGCAACTCAGCTATTTTGAAGACTGATTTATTCCCATCCTAAAATGTCATATTTGTTTTGTTAAAGATTTTGGTAGAATGCGAGGGGGAAGACACACACATGAATACATAAAAACTTTGGTTATTTTAAAACTATTTGTTACTAGAAGTAAATATTTATATATCCCTTTAAATAACTTTCAGTGGAACAGTATATAAAACATATGAAGTCAAGTTGCTGTGTTGAGGTTATAAAAAAATAACCTGAACCTGTTCTCAGCCTCACATCACCCACCACTGGACTTGAGGCATCTCTTCGGAAACTTGAGCTTCTCAAAACTGTTTTTAAGGCATATTAGGATAGAGTAATACAGGATAATCTAGAAAATATTAGTAACAGGAGAAAGTGTTCAAGAAAGAATTTATAGCGTGTGTGGTACTTAAAATCTTGGAGAATAATTATAAATTAGGTATGAAGGGCATTCCTGAAGGAGAGAGTTCATTCTGGATAATTCTCTATGGAGAATAGAGCTAATCAGATGAAATCTTACTCACATAAAGGAGCAATTTCATATAGTAAATATTAAAAAACATGACTTTAGGGCGAGGCTGATTTTGAATGTTCAACCGCGCCTCTCTACATATACCCTTTCCCTTAATGATCTCATTTTAAATGACAGCTTTAAGTTTCATTAAAATGCTTTTCCCATCCAAATTCTTATCTGTCTGTCATCCTAAACTGTAGATTCACATAGCTGTCTGCCTACTTGACATTTTCATTTATATATCAAACAACATCAGAAATGCTCTTCAAACCTTTTTCACCCAGATCCTTCTTCATCTTTTCAGCGAATAAGTCGAACATCTTTGAGGCATCCCTGACTTCTCACTTCTACGCTGGCCATCTTACAGAAAACTGCAGAGAACTATGACTCTGTCCTGTCACTGCTTTTGCATCTCAATTTTCCCATATCACTTATAAGCTAACACATTATGTATATGGAAACAGGGACTCACTTTAAAGGTGGTTGTAATACTCAAAGTACAGAGTAACAATTCCGGACATAGAGGGGGAGATAAAATGACAATGAAGAACTGATTATGAAAGAATCTACAGGCTTGAGGAGCCCAAAGTGGGCGCATGATGGTGGATACATGCACACACACCAAAGAAAGGGAATTAATTTTTATACATATAGCATATAGTTCTGTATGGTACATATGCAATATATAGCTTAATATTGCTGGTTATAAGAATAAAATATTGCAAATAACAAAGACTAGGGATAGGGAGAAAGAGTTGAGGTGGGAAAACACTGGTTTACTTCTAGGTAAAACCAATTTTATGTCAGTGTAAAGATTCCTCTTTGTCTTGTGTTAAAAATATTACAAACTACACTTTTTGGTTCTTAAGGTATCCTTTTATTAGAAAAGTTTTCTCAAAAAATAAGGGACAAGATAATTTTAAGATTTTAAACAACTGTTCTCATTTTCTATTTATTTGTTCACATGTGGGTACTCATCTGTACTTTCACATCTCCTGCGTGCTAAGGTATTGTAGCTTCAATTACATTTGATCATATATATTAAGTGTAAACCTATGGTATGAGCAATGACAAAGACAGAGTGCCTAACCACCTCTATTTGAAGTCCCCTAGGACTCAGGTTAATTAATGAGACTCATCCTAAGGTTATACATGATCTATTACTTCCTCTAATTAGAAATAATAATTCTGATCATTATGCTGGTTAGCTGGAAAGAAGTAAGATGAATGTGCCTAACTATGATTAATAGTCTTCTTTAAGCAGTCTAGATCTCTTCTGTCACTGAGTTATATGCAAACTGGGAAGCAACTCAATGCTTTTTTTATGATACATATTTTTAATACCCCTCAAAATTAATTTTCTGGCAGCTCTTTATACCTTTCTAATTTAATAAAAAAACAACCATTGCATTATTTTAAAACTGATTACCACAACAAAAATTAGTTATTTTTTTCATTTAGCAGGAAAAAGATAAGCAAGATCATCTTTTATCTTTTTAAATATTTTCTCCAAAATTCTGTGAATACCTACGTGTTCACTCCATTCTGCTAAGGTGAAACAGACTATTTGAGATGATTATATACCAAATTTTTCAAATTCAAAAAGTTAGTGATAATGATTACGTGAAGTGATATTTATTCAGCAATGTTTAATAAGGGCTGATGTCTATACTCTTACTGGCAACTTTACCTGACACTTTCATCTGCCACAGAAAGCATGAAAGTTATTGTCAGAAGGAGAGATGAAACTCATCCACACACAATATTAATCATCTACTGTTTTTGATGTGGCAGATATAGTCAGAATAAGATTGAATATTCCTAATTCTTTTTGAATAAAAATGAAAATGCAACTTATACTGACATGCCAGTTTAAAACACTCTGCATGCACATTTAATTTTGCTTTAAAGTCTGGGTAAAGAAAGGTCTGATTATTCAAACCTTAAATAACTGAGAGGAAAAAAATTATAATGATAACACATACATGATTTTTATTTTAAAATCTGCAATAATATAAAAGCAATGAAAGAAAAAAGGTGGTCAGAAATTTAGTATTTATATACCTGTTAAAATTTCTTAGGCAAGGAGATAGTGTACCTTAAAATTAAAACACATAAACTCTGAGTCACATGATCCTCATGCAAACCTTAGCTTTGCCAATGACCAACTGCTCTGAAGGCCCTGAAAATAATTTTACTTCTGAACACCAATATGCTCACTCTGAGCATAGTAAATAATAATGGTAATATTCATATATGATTATTGGGGATAACTAAGAACTAATATTTATTTCATATGTTTATAGAGCAAATTCACTTAATATACATAAAACGTTATTATAGTGCTTAGCATAAACTATTTAACAAATAATGCATGTTTCTCTTTTATGTTGAGAAGTGCCTAGCCCAGTGTGAAACATACTTAAATCTTAAAATTAGGTTTCCCTGTCACTATTTTTATTGCAAGAACCCAGAGTGACTAAAGATTTAAAATAATCAATATTTTCAATTGATATACTACATTTACAAATTTTTTCACTACAATTTTTATAGGATCAATTAGTCACATTTATTTGCTATTGAATTGTGAACAGATTTTATATGTGGGACTTTAAGGGAAATTTCTAAACACACAGATGACTTCCAAAAAGTGTAGGTCCTATTTTCCTTTTTTGATAATTAACTTTTATACTCTCTATCCAATGTAGTAAATTTATCATTCAGAATTTCCTTTTTTATTTCAATTTAATAATTCATAATTGATTTTCTATTCATAATGTTTTATTAGATCAAAACAAAGCAGCAACCTGTTTATCAACAATTAAGAATTTATATTTTCAATGAGATATTAAAAATAATAAAGATACTATCATTTAGGCAACTACTGTGTGCTCTGAACTGTGCTTTCAAATTATGGACTGTGAAAGATATACTCCAAAGTATCACAGATAAAATAATAAATGAAACAGAAAGATACAATATAATATATGTTGACTGCAAGTATGTGACATAATATATCTTTGTGTGGTAAATGGATGGTAAATTTGCCTGAAGAATATGAAACCTTGAAGAATATTCTTAAGGATAGGAATTGGAAATCAGTAGAAAGAAACATATAGGTAGGAAAACAAAAAAAAACCAACTTCATAGTTTCATAGAATAAACCTTCACTGGCTGTTTTCATATTGGAGTGAGAAACAGGCAAAATAAAATACATTTAATCCAGTCTATAGAATATTCTGAAAAGCAGATAGAAATCTTATTTCTGATGTCCAAGACCTTCAGGGTAACTTAGAGGTTTTTAAAGTACTAAAAACATGCTTATTGAGTTACCTATTTTATACTACAGTTAGAAATATCTTTACAATTTCAACTTTAACTTAAAATTTTGGAAAATATAAATGATAATATGTTCATTATTTAGAAATAAAGTATCCACACAAGTAGAAATCATTTTATTTTTCCTAAAGGCATTCTGACACCAAAATGACTCCTCCAAATATATACAATATGGAGAAAGTATATTTGTAAACAAAGAATACATATATAAATAATAAATGTGTATTTAGTAATAAGTAATAATAATCCTCAAAACCTTAAGATTGACAGATACTTTACCAATCTGAATTTAAATGGATGTAACAGCATAAATGATTAATCTAACCAGAATATCTCTCTGCCAATCAACTATAACACTAATGTCTTGATGAAGTAATAAAGGTTTTTCTGAAGCAAAATGCTGAGCTAATCTGCACATTAAATGTATGTGTTGATACCTTGACATATGCCCCCTCTAAGAGCACAGGAGCAACAAATATGAAAGCTGCTAAGGTTTATATTTAAGAAAATCACACCTGCAGGCCTTGCCCATCCACGGTAACTGAGTTGGCTCTTTGCATTTTGTTCTTGTCCGTCCCTTTGTTTGGCTGCTGGGAACCACCCTTTTCCTTTTTCACTGTTGCTTGTCTCTCCTGTAAGGCGGGGGGAAACAAAAAAACCTCTTTTATAAAAATGTTGAATAGTTTTACTAAAAGGGTCAGCATATCATGGCTACTAATTTAGGACCAAACTCCTGGTGACTAATATGAAAGTTGTTGCTTTCAACTGGCTCAATATATATATGAGAGATGCATAATCAAAACATCAGCTGAAAGGATGTGAAAGAAAACCAATTTGTATTGTTCCTATGGGCCCAATTATAACTTTGTCAAAAGTTACCCAGAATCACTAAAGCTAATTCTTTCATAAACAAGGGTAAAGATAAATAATATAGGATTATAAATTAAATATTTGGTACTAAGACCTAAAATAATGCATCTATATATTGCATAATAATAATTGCATATATATATACAATATTGAAAAATGAATACACAATGGGCTTTTAAGCTGCTGTGAAGCTACTATCAAGGATGACATGACCCTTAAACCTCACATTCCACCCCAGCCAATCCCTTCGTTCCCGTTAATGAAACAAAGTTTGTTGTAGTTGTCTGCTCCCTGATTCTATAACTCTTCTCTCATTCTCTCTGCAACTTACCCCAATAAATGTTACCATCATTAATTCACAAATCAGCTCATATTAAAATCACCAATGACCTCATCATCACAGCTGTTGGTCATTCTTCCTCATCTCAATCTTTAAGCAGCATTGGACATAACGAACGTCTTCTTCCCTCCTCTGCGCTTGCCTCACTGGGCTTCCAGGCCGCGACTTTCTCCTAGCATTCTTCTCACTCCACCAACTGCACCCTCGTGGTCTCTTTTGTGGTTCCTCCTTCGGCCTTCTGCTTCATACTCTTTAACACTTACCCTCTGCCTTGGGCCTCTCATCTTTGCCACTACACTGACTCCCTAAGTAACTTCATTTAATCCAAAGCTTTCAATTTTCATTATATGATGAAGACTCCTAAATATTTCCTGTTCATATTTCTCCCTTGAACCTTAACACCTATATGCAAATGCCCTTTTTATCTGTCCACATACATGTCTAAAACATATATGAATCCCAAAAGCATCCAAAGTTACGTTTTTTAAATTTTCATTCTACATAATGACTCACTACCTCCATCATCATATGATATGAGCCACCATTATGCTATTTGCCTGAATATTACAACTATCACTGAATGGGTCATTTTGATTCCAACTTTGTCTCCCTACACTCAGTTCTCCATGCAACAGCCCCACTCATCCCTCCACTCCACGCCAGCTACACCCACATCCTGGTTGTTCCATGATCACAACAACCATGCTCTCTATTCAGACTCTTACAATCACTCTGCACTCTCCTGGAATATACAGATAAGAAGTTTGGGCTTGCTCCTCACTTACTTCCGGTTTCTGGTCAAATGTCAGGTATGTTTCCCTAGTCCCTTCAGCCTTTCTTTTGGGTGTATGTAATTTAATACAACCCAAAATGTCTATTTAACTCATCTAATGCTAGTCTTCCTCTATTTCAATCAAATCTTCATTAGAGATAGGATAAATAGAGAAATACATAAATTTTAACATAAAAACAAAAAATTTAAGTGCCTTAAGCATTATCTTGAGAAGAATTGTTGGCCTTGTCTAAGCTGGGTATGAAAAATCATCCTGATCAATTATCAATGTTTCCCATATGTGCATAAATGCTCAAGTGCCACTTTCCTGTCACTTATTCAGATATTTATTTCTTAGTTTTGTATTTGTCTTTTTAGAATACCATTTAACTTTCTGTAATTTAGGAAAATATTTTTAAGGGGTCTTAAAAGTAAAACCCTTTTAAAAATATATCAGGTACAGATGACTCAGAAAACTTCTTGCACCAAAACAAATGCTAATTAGGAAAGTCCGTTCACTTTGCAGTTTTATGGTGCAAAAACCCCACAGTATATAAATATATATTTGTGTTACGGAAAATGGATATATGTATTTTTATACACACACACGTATCTGTACTTGTGTGTGTGGTTGAAAATAGATGGTACAGTAGGATTTCAGAAATTCAAATTCTTTGGAAAATTATGTCCTTACAGAAAAGCATAATTTCTGATAAAAATATCAACATTTTAAAAGACTGATCATGCTTTATAAGATTACAAATTACACTTTTGTCCAAAGATAGTTAAGAATATACTGCATAGAAAGAATTACAGGATGAGGTTTGGAATAAAAGAGCCTGAGACAGATCCCATCTCAGATACTTGAATATTATGTAACCTCATAGAACTTATTCTCCCTCAACATGAAGGTCATAATTAATACCTATTTCTCTAAGTCTGTAAGGTTTAATAGAAAATGTATGAAGTCCTAACATTGTGCCTGTATTAGAGTATATACTCAATAAATGAAACTTATTAGGAATCATACACAATGAATTGACTCGACCATCAGGGTGTTAATTAATATTACCTTTATACAAAGTGTTTTTATATTTCCAAATGCATACACACACACACACACACACACACACACATGCACATATATATGGCACAAGTTAAATCAACATCTGTTCAAATAAGTAAAGCTCAAACTAAATGTTTACATATGAAAACCCATAGCTTGTGTTAAAAATTCAAAAATGAAATACAGTTGGTGAGTATATGAATCACTTCACCCTTACTATGTTTTTTTTAGGTTTAGTCCCTAAATCACAAAATGAATTTATAATAATTAAGAAAACTTTGTTGTGCCAGGTAAATTACCCCAGATATAAAGAGTTGGGAAATTATTGCTTTAATCAATAGAAATTATCCAAACACTGAAAAGAGCTACTCTAAGAAAACCATGAAAAAATATAGAACACAGAACTACAAAATATAAAACACAGTTATTGATATTTAAGCATTTTCAAATATCAACCATTTGTGTTTGCTAGACAGACATTTTAAATATAGAATTCAATGTTCTGTGATCCTTGGACTCCACAAGTAGCACAACAGATCTTAACTGGGGAGTATATTGTATTACAATTCCAAAGAATAATCACCATAATGAACGCAGAAGAAAAGCTGAACAGACCATTCACAGAACACAGAAAAATGAAATAAATGAAATAAAAAGACCTCACTTTAAATATGTACTCTAAGAAAATCTTTTTCTGAATCATGCTGATTCTCAGATGTTTTTAGCATTTGTACGTGGCTGAAAACTGCTCTCACAAAAGGGATGTTTACCGCAAACCTTAAGCCTGCTGTTATCGATCATTCACAAACTACAAGCAGCAAGTGATGATTACCTCAAGCACAGGGTTTTCTTCTTTTTGTCCAATCTCAGCATGAGAGACAGGCAGCAGCAAAGCACCTCGATTGGTACAAAGCCACAGAGAAGGGGAGGAGGATGCTCTGCGGCCAAAAGCACCTTTCAAAGGAATCCTGCCACTTGCTTTCTCGGCTATTTCACCAACTGCTTGAATGGAGACTTTGCCCTTTTGGCCCCTAGGGCTACGCCACAAGAATTTCCCAGAAACTCTAGAATTTTAACCCAAGGTAACACTTGGATATTCATAATATAAAAGTCTCAGTGAAGCAAAAGTGTCACCATATCATTGGGACTTATAAGGGTTACGAGCTCCAAGAAACCAATTTATTGACAGCTGCAAAGCTGTACCTTTGATTACTGTAACCTTAATATGGGAATTGAACGTTTCTCTGCCCAGAGAAACTAATTCATTTCAAAAATGGCAAAGACTCTAAATCTTTCAGCAAGTTATCTACTATCTCTAACTCACCATTTAACTCATCTATAAAATGAAAGTTTCATGTGATGATAAATTGAAAAATTGTGAAATACTGGCATAAAATTGGCAGCCAGTACATGAAGTAATTTTTTAAATGTAAAAAAAATTGTTATATTTTAGCATTAAGTTTAAAATAAGTATGATGCTGAAAGAACATCTATGTATAATCAATAGACACAGACAAAAAGGTGGTGATGGTCAGAGGGAAACGGGGCAGGGGTAGAAAGAGGCGGGCCAAGGGAGGAAAATGAGGACATCTGTAATAGCGTCAACAATGAAAATAAAGCTAAAAAATAATACTATACTTTAAAACAAACGTAAATTTTTTAAGGATGTTAAATATGGGTGCCCTGAAGGCCCATTAGAAAATCATTTGATCTGGGCTGCTTACTGGCAAATGGTAGTGCCATTATACCTGCGCGTGCGCGCGTGCACACGGCTCATCTTCACTGGCTCCATTCCCTTTGTAAACCATACTAATTGAAGCCACAGGAAGCGTAAGGTTAAAACAAGGAGGCAGCTTTCTTGTACGTGCACATTCGTCACCTCTTAAAATCTGTTAAGTTAAATAATCAACATAGTAATTTCTGTGTAGTACCCAATCTATTTATGCCAGTTACAAGTAGAATTTATCTCGTTTTGGTAACCATGTAAGTTAATTATGACTCATGCCATTGAATTATGTGTATAAAATGAGTTGTTTCCATAAAAAATAACTTGCATGCTTCAGAAAGAGAGGATACTATAGGGTGCACAAGTGTGCATGTATGTGTGTGTGTGTGTGTGTGTAAGACTGGCCAAGCTGGGTTTGGACATGGTTGACTGAAAAGCATGGAGAATTAGTAAAAGAATTAAGGGTTTTTAAATACAAATTGCTCCACAGATATGCTTGAATTTTGGTTATACTCTAAAACAACTGAATTGGCCCTGGTTGTTGTGGCTCAGTGTACTGAGCACCGGCCAGCAAACTGCAGGGTTGCAGTTGGATTTCTGGTCAAGGCACATGCCTGGGTTGTGAGCCTGGTCCCCAGTTGGGGGCGTGCAAGAGGCAACCCATCCATGCATCTCTGGTACATCAACAATGTGTCTCTCGCTCTTTTTCACCCTCCCTTCCCCTCTCAATAAAAGATAAATTAAAAATCTTTAAAAAACACTGAATGGAATTAAAAACAATTGTTTTCATTAGTATATGAATATGTTTATACCAAATAAGAATGTTTTTGTTTTACTTTAAAAGAACTGATAATTAAAATTTATGGTTGAGAAAATGGTGATAAATGCAAGAAAAACTATATACTATTTCCAAACAGTAACTATGCCCTCATAGGAAAGCCCTTTATCCTGTCAAAAAAGTAGCCAATGAATATACATTTACATATTATGAGTGTAATGTTTAAGGTATACATATATTTTTCTGTAAGTTTCCTTACATAGACTTAAACCACATTTTCAGTTAACCAACAAGCAATTGTTCCTGACGGTGGAACATTAAGGTCTCTCTCTGTTTGTGTGTGTGTGTGTGTGTGTGTGTGTGTGTGTGTGTGTGCGCGCGCGCGCGCGCGCATATACTCACTTATATTCCTATTCATGGGCTAAAGAAAAATTCTGGAAAAATATAATTGAAATAAACTTACACAATGATTTCAGAGGATGTAGTAATTTTTTAAAGCTGTTATTTGCAGGGAAAGTGGAAGGGAGGGAGAAGGAGAGGGAGAGAAACATCAACTGGTTTCCTCTCCCAGGCCCCAAATTGGAAGCTTGTCTAGCAACCCAGGCATGTGCCCTGACTAGGAATCAAATCAGCAACCTTTTAGTTTGCAGGCCAGCACTCAAGCTACTGAGCCACTCCAGTCAAGGCTAGTAAAATTTAAGTTAAGCAAAACCAATATATGTTGCAAGGAAAAAGAAAGCACTGTGTACAAATATTTTAAACAATTAAAGCAGAAAAAAAATTAACAAATGAAAAGTGCCTACTACAAAAACAGCAATTTGGGCATTTATATTCAAATTATATGGTATAAATTATATGGTTGAATACAAGAGACTTCTGGAGATTAAGAATCTAAAGAAAAAAATATAGATTTTAAATACAGTGCCTATAGTCACTTGATGGGCTATGATAGGAGCAAAAAAAAAGAGAAGAAGAAAAAACCTCAATGGCTGGCACATATAAAATTAATTCTTTTACCCTCAAATAATTAGATTGAATGATAAACTTTTCTAATACCTTTGTCATTTGAGTGTGTAGTTTAACATTTCTGTTTTATAATAATTATCACAATGATATCAACCGACTTACATGGTATAAAAACAGTTTAATACTTCTCATAGATTAGAAATGTTACATTTGAAGCATACCTTCCAGTAATATTTTCAAGTAGCATCTCTAGTCAGAAATGAAAATTTTTTAAAGTTTCAATGAGGTTGTCTACACTGATTAGAAAACTTTTTAGAGGGGAGCAGAGAAAATTTATTACCATTTTTTGTGCAATTACGTTATCCTCTAAATAAATTCATACTCTTATATGATTACTCGCATATTATAAATAATATATTTTCCTAAGAAGCAAATTCAAATTATAACCATAAGGAAACAATACCACTTGAGCATACCCTTTGGAGACAGTAACAATTGAATTTTGTCACATAATAATGTGGAGGCTTTGCTTCATTAATGCACGGTAAAGCTAACACTTCACTGAAAATAAACGTGGAGACCTGGCTGAGAAACTCAGTTTGTTAGAACATCATCCCAATATGCCAAGGTTGAGGGCTCAATCCTCAGCCAGGGCACATGGAAGAATCATCCAATGAATGCATAAATAAGTGGAACAACAAATCTCTCCCTCTCTCTCTTAATTTTTTTTAAAAAAGAAAAATATGGCAATGCCTACATTTATTTTTGAAATAAACCATTTATCCTGTGACTGTGTTTGATTAGCATGACTTTCTATATGACACCATATGCTAAATGATTAATTAAAGCAAGTGTACTGTTCTTTAAAGTGATGGACACTTCAAGAGGGACAAGGGTTTCTCAACAAACGATCAATGAAAGCTATATTTAAACAGCTCAGGGGATTTGTTTTAGGCTTTCTAAAAGGTATTTATATTTTAAGTTGACAGAAATGATGCTATCCTTATACGTTGGTCAAAACTCTTTGCAAAATGACCTTTATTTTGCTCTATATATTTTGTTTCATGTAACTTCTTGTTTTTCTAATGTTTGCCACAAATGAAGGTTGGAAATGCTTCAGGTCTATCCCATCATGAAAATCTAAAGGTCACCAAGGACATGAAAAACGATGAAATATACAAATTAATATTAATGGACACTAAGACAACTCAAAATGTTCTTTATAACACAAAATGTATAATGACCTATAATTGCAATTGTGAAAACCTTTTTTGCTTACGCACCTCAGGGACTGAACCTCCTGAAGTGGGCAGAGTCTGTTGAAAAAGAGAAGTTCATATTAAAGCTGAAAAAAAAGGTCAAACTGAAAACAAATATCAATGCAGATTTTTATATCACTATTCTCCTGTGAAGTAAATGAATAAACATCAATGTGTTTTCCTGTCATAATTTTCTTTTGCTTATGTTCATTCATTGAATAAATATCTTTTCACAAATTAAGGAATACTCTAATGCAGAGTTGGTTAGGTTGTGGAATCACTTATCCAAAATACAACTTCATCCACCCAAAGCAGTCTGATAGACATCTTTAGCCGGCTTCACAAGCTTCTCTATAACAGCACTGATACATTACATTTATATTTTTAAATGAGGACTCATCTCCAAGTTTCATTCTTTCATAAACAATTCCTACCAATATTTAAAGTTGCCTGTTCACTCAGCCCACTTTTCCATCTTCCAATCCAACTTTCATTCCTTCCTAAAAATAGTGCCTTTTTAATGTAGATATAGCTTGTGGTGTTGATTTTATTTTGTCATTCTCTAAAAATAAAAAATGATTAATATTGGTAAAAAATAAAAATGTAATTAAATAAGAAGCAGGATTTTACTTGAAAGTAATTTTTTTAAAATGAGATTAAATAGACTGAAGCTAGTCTTCATGAGAGCATATCTTCAGTGACCCACGCCCCCTCCTCTTCTGAGTCACATTGGAAAAGTAATTCCCAAGTCCTATGTCCTGTGAGACTTAGAATAAATCTGGAAAAATTTTTGACACTCTTAATACTAAATGAAAGTTTCCCAAAGTGGGGTGGGGAATAAAAGTAAGAAAAGTGAATAAGAAAGTAGAAGTTGTTAGATATTTGTGTGTCCTTAAAAAAAGAGAGGGGAGTATATTCCAGTTTCCTCCTCAGAACCAAGCTATGTGAGGATGACTCTGGGTGGATTCCCAAGATGGGTCTGAAACATCTGAGAACACTGGTCTTAGCTGACATCCTTACCAGGTTGAACTTTGCGAAGGCAGCAAGAACCAAAAGAATAAATAGCTACTTCTGAGGTAAATGAAGCCTCATATGGCTTCATAGATGCTCAACATAGAGACAGATTAGAAGGATCCAACACACCCAAAAGTGGACAACAAGGAAAAGGAGTCTAGGACAGCCCTAGAGAAAGTGAAGCTGCCCAGGAATACAACTTTGTTTAGAAGATATTTTTACACATACAAATAAACAGGAAGTTCAGATTTTTAGTCAAAAGAAATAATGAAGTGTGTTAAAAGAAACTTGGTTTTACTATCCCATTTACAGGAGAACCCTGTGGAAATGATTGCTATTTTTTTCTCAGAATAATTGACGAAGCTTTGGAAGAACTTTCATTGAAAACTTTCTGATTTCAGTGATATTCTTCACTTCTTGAGTCCAAGTCTGTCTACATAACACTCCAGGCAATGGGTGGTGGGGAAATATGGGTACTAGTTTCAATGTGCACCTCCTTAAAGTGTCTTGGCAGCCTACTGCTCTCCTTTCTCAGCTTTGGTTGAAGCTTAGGTTTGAATAACACTTTTAAGACATGAATGCATACTTCCATCTCTATTACAATATGTAAATGCTTATTCTCCCTCAAGTCCAGAGTAGGTGACTCATCCTAGACTCCTTACCTATCCAAAGCCATGGCCCCAGGAGAATCCCAGAGACTCTCAAGAGACCAAACTGAGACACTTACCAGGCGACCTCTAGAGCAGAAGTCACAGATGCCTTCTACCTTGGGAAGAGTTTATGTTAACTGTACATAGGTCTTCACAGAACGAGGCAATGAAAAGCCAAGTGAAAGATTATGGTTGCCAAAGGTTCGGAACAACAACCAAGTGCAATGCAATAATTTCAAATAGACCCTATTCATACCACCTCTACCACAATCCCTCCAAAAAACTATCAAAGACATTTTAAAGATAATTGTGGGCATTAGAATATAAACAGGAATTATTTTTTATATTCTTTAGTGTGATAATAATATTGTAATTGCATAGAGATTTTTCCCTAACCTTAGAAAATGTCTGCAGAAATATTTGGAGATTCAGTGTCATATTACCTGCAATTTCCCTTTCAAAAGATTCAACTTGATAAAATATATATTATGTGTATGTTGTAAATATGCATATATAAGCACACATAGTCATACATATAAAAAAACAATTATATATGTAAATAATAGCAATCGATGAATATAGGTTAGGTATTTACAGTATTCATGTGGCCCAATGCCACAAAAAGCAAAGACTATGCCATACTGGATAATAAAAACCCCATTTTAAGGGATCCTTCCCAATACACCATAGGAAGAAATCGAACCCTAGCTGTCACTCTGCTAGCACTCATGTAGAGAACTGGTAATGTACAGATATTCATGTTAGCAGGCTTCCACCTTCTCAGAGCAGTGGGAATATGGGTTATCTACTGAGAGCAAATGAGGTTGGTAGAGAGAAAGTGAGGTGAAGAAAGTGAGGAAATAGTCAAGGTTTTGTCACTACATCTCTGAGAAAGGGAAAGCAGTTGACTAAGGAGTAATAACAGGATCAAACAAAACAGGGATCAGCTGAGCTAGAAGTCATACAGCTTTGAGCATTTTTTCTAGCAACACTCATATGTTTGACAGCAACACTAAAAATTCACTCCAAGAAAAAGGGTGATGAAACTCTACTTGAGCTCACATACAATTAAAATGCATATGCAACATGTATATTTTAAATCGCCATGCCTATCAGTATATTATCCCTGAATTACAATAAGCAAACCATGATATCTGTGTAAATTAAAAAGAACCAACTGGTTAGAAAACAAATTCAGGCATTACATTACTTCATTTTTATTCTTCTATATACAATTTTTAAATATCAAGGATGAACAGAGTAAATGTTTTAGTTTCTTTAAAATTATTATGAGCGTATAATTCTAAATGTAATATATTTTTAATTAGAATTAATACAGGAACCGTATATTTGTATTTAATCATATGTGAGGTGTGACTACAGAGGAGTGTGATTGATTTTATTTAATCAGTATCATTTTAATATTAAATAGAATACACAGTACAGATAATTAGCTTAAAGGATGCATTTGCCTTCAGGGCACTTGTTAAGTTCAACCTAATATCAAAGAATTTTTAAAAAACCTATTATTCTAAAGTATTGAGATATCTCTTGTCTTCATATTTTCTAAAATGGAATCATTTTAAATTGACAATTTAATCCAAATTGTCATAGGACAAAGAAAAATCTTTGGTGGAAAGATTATTAAGCTTTGACTTAGTTAAAAATATAATAAGAGAACAGTACTCACATTAAAAGGGTCATCAGTTATTTCAAGACTAAAGTAAAATTAATAGAATTATATTTCATACCTATATTAGAATGCTCATATTTTTGAAATATTGCTTTCATGTTTATTATTTCATTTAATCCTTCCACTAAACTAAGATATATACTCCATTTCTCAGATTGGGAAACTGAAAGTCAAAAAGATTAGATGACGAGCCTAAGAAAATAAAGTTAGTGGCAGACTCCAAATATAGTGCCTTTTTATCTCAAGCTTTACTTAAATCAAACAACAGAAGGTTCAAGAGCCACAACAAAAAAAAAATGTTTCTTTTTTAGCTATTTCTCTATTTTTTAAGTGATTTGGAAACCAAATAATTTTAAAATGTTATTGAACACAACAAAGTATATAGTAACCTCAACATACATCCATTCTGCCTGAAAGAACTGACTTGGATATCAGCATGGATTAACTGAACAGAATAACTTCCGGTGCATAGCAAAATAAAGAGGCCAAATAAAACAATGTTCAATAGCTTATTTTCCTAACTTAAAACGCGCTACCACTGGCATCAAAGAAGTGAGGGACAGGGAGGAAAACAGGCCTGGGGAAAGAATCGTTGTGCTCCTAACGTGGTACACTGCCTCGGCTTCAGAACTCAGCTTGTTCTTCCCTCACACATGATAATAAAATGCATCAACAACAACACTAAGATATAGGAACTAAACATATTTTTGATTTCCATGGGTTTTATTTTCACATTCCAACTTTGTAATTCGTTCAACCTTTTATGACTTTGCAGGTCCATAAGTGTGTACATTCACACAAATGAACACAATACACATTTTAAACAAAAGTGAGATGAAAATATTTTTAATAATGCTGTTGTCTTTATGAACATCTTTAATTGAAGATCATTTCAATGTATGACAAGTAGGTCAATTAGAAAAATTATAAACTGTGTATGGTTTCTTTCCCAGTGGCACGTTAACATATCTAATAAAATACAACTAGCAAAAATAAAATAATTTAGAAGATAGATGTGTTATAATCTTACAGAGGGTCCCTTGCCTAGCCACTTCTCACCTGAGCCAAATTAAGCTTCTTACACCAATGTAAATTTAATGGTAAAAATATTTTCACCAGGATGATTCAACTGCCTTTATAATCGCTCATAAGGATATTCTATCCTAACTTCTGTAACTGTAATCTCTTTTGCCTGTTTGCAGTTTTAGTCAGGAGATACTGAAGTAAAGGGGATGCAAGGCTCCCTCCAGAACAGCTGCCTCAATATGTGTGCATGTCTGTGTCCAGAAAGGAAGTGCACTGAACCCTCAAGAAAGTACACCTGGTGCAATGGATATTTGGAAATTTAAGGGACACCAACTGGTTTCAGTGAAAATTTTAAAATTGTATTTTATAATTATATCTTTAGTATTTCAAGCATAAATTTCTATATCTAAAAGCAGTTAGCAAGAACAACTAAAACCCCCTCTAACATTACTGGTATTTATCGTCTTGCCTACTGATTAGCTAGTGAAATAAAACCATTAGAAATATCATCCTTCTTGGTTAGGTCTCACAACATCATCAGAAGCCAATATGGCTGAAGAAAGATTTTTCAGGGGTTTGTTTTTTAGCTTTGATTCACAATACAAATGTACAGTTACACATTCCTAAAGTAATTTCACAAAGAACTCATACCCTGTGTGCCCTATTTTGTGATA